GGGATGCAGTTAGCCAGGGCGGGTGAGAGGATGTCCTTCCCCTGGGCCGGCAGGCGGGCAGCAGCAGCGACTGGCTGGCTAGAATTGCCGTTGGAGAAGCCCAAGAGAGCTTGCTGGCTCGTCGCTCCGAGCGTGGGTTATTTAAGGCATAGGCTGGAGTTATTTAGTGTCCCTCGAAAGCAATTCTTCCTTAATAGCTCCAGGCAATGATTCTTCCTGCTGCCAGGCAGGTATGTCCCCCTTTCCCAGAGCATACACTCCTGCCCCGTGGCACAGCTGCCAGTCAGCCCTGGCAGTCCCCACTCCTGGGTGTGAAAGAGAGCTCCCGCAAAGCTCTTGCCTGGTGGGGACCCTTTCTGACAGCTCTGCGAGCGGGTTATTCCCCTGTAACCTCCTGCCACTTCAAGGACAGCTTATTCTGGCTTGGGTGTAACGAGCTTTCCACAGTGGTCTGCGTGTGCGTGCATTTCTCTGCATCTGTGCTGGCATCTAGTGGGCACTGCTGGGCGGGTGGGCTTGGATCTCCCAACCCCGGGGCTCTGGCAGCCAGAGAGGTGGCTGACTGCATCTGAGGTGGAGCTGGAAGGCATCTCCCACTGCAGCCTTAGAAGTGACTGGCTCAACCTGGCCTCTTTCCATGGGGTTTTGGGTGAGTTTTGTGCTCTCTCCAGCTGAGGAGGATGTGCCAGTGAAAGGATGAAGGAGGAAAGCAATGCCATCATTGTCCTGGCTGCCTTGCACCCTGCTCTGAAGCAGAGCACAAGCTGGCTGGCTCCAAACTCTGCCTCTGCCAAATTTGGAAAATGGGTTTAATCTCTTTAGCTGGTCTTGAAAAGGCATCCTCCAACTTTTGACATAAAAACGGCTCTGTCCCTTCCCCTGGGCTCTGCACTAGGACATTCCCCACCTCCGTGGCCTTGCGAATCACTGCTTTACAGTGCACATCTCGAGCAGCAGCGGCCACCACAGGCTTCGTGATGCCAGGAAGGATTTGGGAGGCTGTCAGGTGGACTCCTGCCTGGCATGGGCTGCCATGCTTCTCCACGCCTCTGCTCCCCGTAGACGGAGGGGCAGGAGCCCTCCCGAGCCACCTTTAGGTGGCCCTCCGTCTACGGGGGGCTGGGGGAGGGTGCTCCGTAAGGTGCTAGAAAGACATGGCTTGCTCCCATTTCCAGCCAAGGAAACACGTTATTCTGTTGGCTGCTAGCTTGGAGAGAGCTTTGCTCCTCTTGTCGGCTATGACAGTTTAGGATGTGGTAACCTCTTTACCTCTCTCTTCACAAGCTCTGCATATTTAGCTTATCAAAGTCTACCACTGGCATGTTTTCCAGTCTCTTTTTAATTCCTGAGTTCTTTTTTGGACCTCTTTTTGGACCGGTATTGGTCCTGTTTTCAGCTTAGAAACCTCTCTGAATTGTTGGTAGCATGAACGGATGTTTTATGTCAAACACGGTCCTGTTGCTGTGTTGCATGCCAGCTGGAGCGGTGACGTTGCTGAACCATGTAGGCAATGAGCCGATTGCTCTGGGATGCCGGTGGAGACCTTGTCCTCTCCTGTGACCCCCCTGGTCTTGGGTTTGTTCTGGATAGTGACTTCAGACATGCACCGCGGTCCTTTGATGGAGCTGTAGTTTCTTGATTAAGAATGAGAAATGGTACGAAGTCTCACGTTTACTCAGAGTTCAAATGAATGGCACCGGCACTGGGTCATTCATCAGTCAAGCCCACAATCCTTACACAACGAAATCATGTGTGCTGACTGGATCCAACAGCTGTAAACATGTGTTGGGTGGCATTGATTGTGCTGGTCTGCTTTGCTTCTTGGTGAGCTGGTCTGGTTGCAGCCATCCATTTATTTTTGTCTTGGTTCAGTCTTTGCCTGACTAGCGTGTGCTTGCCCGAGTCAGCTATTACCCGTTTGAATATTGGCAGGTACAGGCTGCTGTCTCTCCTGGGACTTTCTAGCATCTCCAGCTGGCCTGAGATCACCATTTGACATGTGGACAGCTTGTCAGCCAGGACTTCGGCATGTTTTAAATGTGTGTTATCTGGGCCTGTGAGCCATGTGTCTTCCCATGGAAGATCAAACACTTCATCCGCATCCTCTGCCTGTGTTGTCTGGTGTTGTCCTAAAGCCGTTGCAGAAATACTCACTGAACGCTCCTCTGTTCTCAGCAGTGCCACCGAGGTTTCCCCTGGCCGACGCATCCGGGATCCGTGCCATC